CAAATGCTTCTGACCTGGACCAGAACATCCAAAAATGTCTGAGGGACATTTTGGGTTCCCACAGGGATGGGCTTGCTGGATCTGCTGTGTTCCCTCTGGTGCTGGGAGTGCTGCAGCTTTCCAGCGCTGTCCTGCTCCTGCCACACCCTCCAAGCTCAGAGCCAGCCCCTGGATCCCAAGGGATGAATCCTGATCCCATCAATCACCACATCCCAGGGATGAATTCCTGATCCCAACCATCATCACATCCCAGGAGTGAACCCGGGGCTGAATCTCTGATCCTGACACATCATCACCTCCCATTTCAGTGCCTGTGCTGAGGTCCCAGATCCTGCACTTCCTTTATTATTATGATATGATTATTATTATTATTAGCAGTAGTATTAGTATTAGTATTATTAGTATTATTATATTTAATTTTTATGTCACTTCATTTTTCTTTCCTTTCAGGCTGGATTTTAACCCCACTTCTATTTTTACCCCCTTTTCCCTGAGGTGCCAAAGCCAAGGGCACAAACCCTGGGAGCAGGAGCTGCGTTCCTGCCCCTGTCCTGCTCCGGTGATGGATGGGGGGCAGGGGGAGGCTCCCAAACTGCTCCAAAGTTTTTGCTTTTCTTTCCTCCCACCCACCTCCTTAAGTGCTGGGACTCTGCTGCTGGGAAGGGAGTTCCTATGCTCCAGAGAGGTGGGAATGATCCTAGAGGGAAAGAAAAGGAGTGGGAAGAACGTGGCTTTATCCTGCTTGAGGCTGTGGCCAGGTGTGCTCTTTGGGACTGACTTGTGCTGATGGGAAGTGTTTCCTCTGTCTGGGAGCTGGATCCCCAAATCCCACAGAGCTGTTGGGGGCAGGAATTAGATCCTGCCTGGAAAATTCAGCTGGGTCAGGTCAAATCCTTTCCTGTTACCACAGTCCAGGTGTCTGTCGAGGCAGGATGGGAATGAAGAGACTCTGACTCAGAAGCTGCTGAGAGTAAAACTCATAATAGTAATAAATCATATTGAATAAATCATGTTCAAAATACCCTGCTCTTTTATACAGAGCTTTGTGAGGACCAGCTCCATTGGTCCTGAAGTGAAAACAACTCATCCCATTGGTGTACAGTGCTTGACACACAGTGATAGAACTTAACTATAAACAATGTGAATAACAAGAGAGATAAAGAATTATTGACATTCTTCTCCAGCTCTTTCCCAGGCTTCTGCCTGGCTAGAAACTCTCCGTTTCTCTCTTTGATGAATCTGAGTCCCACGGGTGCCTCAGCCAGGCGTGGCCGGTGTCCGGCTGCGCTGGGAATGGGGGGACAGGGGGACGGGGCGGTGTGAGCCCCGTGATCCCTTTGGGATGGCTGTGCCAGCCCTGCTCCGGGGCTCCAGGGGTGTTTTGGCTCTTTTTCCTGGCAGGTACGGGCAGCTGAGCGGGATGGTGGAGCCCCTGGCCGGGGTCCTGGGCGCCTTCGCCGTGGTGCTGGCGGAGCCGCTGCTGCCCTACGCGCTGGGGTTCGCTGCTGGAGCCATGGTCTACGTGGTGATGGACGACATCATTCCCGAGGCACAGACCAGGTGAGACCCCCCGCACCTCTGGGGGGGTCCCAGCTACCCCTGGGAATGAGGAGTGGCCATGGGAAAGGAGGAGTTGGGGAGAAAAAGGGAGGGAGGCCGAAATCCCAGAGGAAAATCCCTCTTTTCTCTTTGTCCCCTGGAGGGAAATGAAATTACCTCCTCGTTCCTTGGTGTGAGGGGAAGCTGGCATGGGGCCAGGCCTGAAATGACCCCTGTGGGCAAGAAATGTCCATGGAAGAGTGGGATTTGGGAGCAGAGGGGATATAAACACCCAGCCAAGGCCTGGGAAGTGGAGGTGGGCTCTGCTCCTTGGCTGGATGGAGGGGATGCGAATCCTCCAGGCAGCAAACTGAGAGAAGAGGGGGAAGTCACCCCTTGGCTGGAGATGGGGTTTGGGATCCTGAGGGGTCGGGATGCAGCCAAGGGATTGCTGTGCTCCCTCCCCGTGCCAGGGAATGTCCCCCCGGGCAGGGGGCTCGGGAGCAGCGGGGCTGGGACGGGACAGGAGCAGCGCTCCCTCCTGCAGCGCTCCCCTCTCCCCTCTCCCCGCAGCGGCAACGGCAAGTTGGCATCCTGGACCTCCATCCTGGGCTTTGTGGTGATGATGTCCCTGGATGTGGGGCTGGGATAGGGCAGGGCTGCCTTCCCAGAGGAGACAGCAGAGCCCCGCGCGCCGCGGGATCGGCAGCCGGACACGCCTCAGCCCGGGACTGGATCTGTACATAGATTTTTGGGATCTGGTTTGGTGTTGATTTCCTCTGATTTTGTATCTCCCCCTCCCCTCCGAGTTCCTGGCGACGGTTTCCAAACACAAATATGGGTGGGTCCTCCCAGATCCTGGTTTGGTTTTCCTCTTGGATGACTTGGGCTGGTTTCTCCAAGGAAAGGCATTTGGGATTTTGATTCTCTCTGTCCTGTCAGAGGTTGGGAATTCCCTCTCCCGTGTGGAGGCTGGTCTGGGGTTAAGCACTGAGGCCTTGAAATGGAGTAAGCTCCTTATGGAGTATGGAATTCCACCCTTTTTTGGGAAGGCTGAAGGCATTAGGACTGTGATAAGCCATGGGATCACAGGTCTTCCACATCCTGCTGCTCCTCGGGAACGCTGCAGGGAGTTGGTTTGGATGGATGGAGATGGTCGAGGCAAATAAAGATGAATTTTCGTGGGATCTCTGCAAGAGGGAAATGTCATTTTTCCCCAAATGTATCTCAGAGGGGTACCGCTCCGATATCCAGGGTTTTCTATGGGAAAAACACCAGGAAAGGAGGATTTGAATCTTTCCCATGCAATTCCATGTGGAGCTGTCTGGCCTTCCCAAGGGATTCTGGATTTCAGCTGCTGCTTCCAGTGATCAGAAGTCCCTGAAGAGCTGAGCCAGGCTTGTCCTGCTCACCCTGCAGCTGCAGGGAGAGCGGAGCCCAGCCAGCACCGGAGCGCTCCGGGATGGATGAATGACTGAACAAATCCCTCAGCATGGATTAATTATCCCACCTGGAGAGCCAGAGCTGTGCATGGAGGTCCCTGCCTCTTCTCCTGATGCTTCCCAAGCATTTCTTGTGGAATGGCTCTTCCCGAGCGCCGAGGATTGATGCAGGCTGGGGAGGGAATCCTGCCCATCCCTGTGCTCCAGGGAGGAGGGAGCTGCCAGGCTTGGAAGGATGCTGCAAATCCCAGCACAAAGGGCTTCCCCAAACCCTCCCGTGGGAATAACTGGATCACCTGGCTGCCTCTGCTGCTCAGTCCCTCTGGAAGTGGGGCTGGGATGTCCCAGATCCGCCTTCGGTCCCACCGGAGCCAAAGGGAACAGGCTGGAATAAACTGGGCTCTCCATTTGGTTTGGTCCCTGTTTTTTGGATGGGTTTCCTTTGTGTGTCCCTCTGGATGATCCAAAGCTCCTGTTTGCTGATGGATTTGACCTTTTAACTGTGATTGCTTTCAATAAATGGGAAATGGAGTTTGCATGGAGTTGTTCCCTTGCCATAAATCCGGGGATTTGCTCCTCCTCCCTCCACTCCGCTGGGTTTCCTTCCTCCAGCCTCACTGCTCCTGGCTCTCCTCTTGGCTGGGAAGGCAGCTTCCTCGGGGCTGGGAAAAGAGGGGGAGAGCCAAGGAGAGGCAGCTTCATCCTGGTGTGCATGCCTGGGGCTGAGCCAGGTCCTTAAAGGCACGCAGGAAATTTGGGAATTCAGCCTTTAGCAGGATAAGCAGTGGGGTCAAGCCCTTCTTTTTAAAAGGTGAGAGCTGTCCCTCAGCCCAGGGCAGGAGAGGGAAGGGATCTGCCCCTGCTGGGAATCAGAGCCCTTCCAGCGTCCCATGCCCAGGGCTGGAGCACCTCCCCCTGCTCTCCCTGATTCCACCCACGCTGAAGGCTCTGGGAAGCTCTGAGCCCTCTGTTTCCAGCTTAAAAACCTTCAAATCCTCCGGGATGTCCACGGCTTGGGATTCTCCAGCCTGTCAGGGATGGTTCCTGCTTTAATTCCTGGCGTGTGGTGCCAGCTGGTACAAAAAAAAAACAAACCACCAAAACCATTAGAGAGTTCAAGGCAGCCTTGTAATCAGATTTCTGGGAGATAATGCCACATGAAGCATTTAATCCTGCCTGGATGCAGCCAGGCCAGATGAGGATGGAGCCCTAGGGAAGGCGCAGGCAGAGAGGGAGGTAGAAATCCCAGAGGAAAATCCCTCTTTTCTCTTTGTCCCCTGGAGGGAAATTAAATTATCCCCCCATTCCTTGGTGTGGGGGGAAGCTGGCATGGGGCCAGGCCTGAAATGACCCCTGTGGGCAGGAAACGTCCATGGAAAAGTGGGATTTGGGAGCAGAGGGGATACAAACACCCAGCCGAGGCCTGGGACACGGAGATGGGCTCTGCTCCCTGGCTGGAGGAAAAGGGGGAAGTCATCCCCTGGCTGCAGAGGGGTTTGGGGTGCTGGGGGTCGGGATGCAGCCAAGGGATTGCTGTGCTCCCTCCCCATACCAGGGACTGGCCCTGGAGCTCCCAGCCTGTGCCCCTGCCTCTGGAAGAGGGGAGGAACCCCGGGAGCAGCCCTGGGTCACAGCTCCTGCTGAGCACAGGGCACGTTTGTCCCTCTCTTTCCATCCTTCCCATGGGAACACTCAGCCCTTGGGGGGGTTCGAAATGTCCTGTGAGCTGCTCACGAGCAAAATACCACATTTTAGCTGGGGATTTCTCCCCTCCTTCCTAATTTTTTAGTAATACCTTTAGATTCTTTGGTTTGGTATTAAAATCATAATAAATTTTAGCAGTGGTTGGAGGGAAACTTAAACACTGACCCCTCTCCAGTTAAAACTTCAAACCCCCCAAATAAATACTCTCTTCTCTTCTCTTCTCTTCTCTTCTCTTCTCTTCTCTTCTCTTCTCTTCTCTTCTCTTCTCTTCTCTTCTCTTCTCTTCTCTTCTCTTCTCT